GTCCAGGTAAAACTGTGCTTACTCACTTGACTGGTCAACAAAAAGAAAGATGGCAAAAGTATTGCAGTTTGAAAATTTGACACCTCCATGCGCAGGACATATGCGTGTAAACAAATCATTTTAAGCTTATATTACCATAAAACTGTGACTTCCTAATTAATCTGGTTCCAAACTTTAATCGGTGTTAACACTGTGGCAAACTGAAATTTACTTGCACTTAAAGTGAGACCTAGGTGTGCCACGAGGCTGAAACTAAAGACTCACATAGTAGCTAATGTCCCCGTGAAATTTCAGCTTCATAGCCTGGCTTAAACTGCTTCTTTGCAGCAAATATATTTGTCATGTTCGCACACGTGGTGCAGGCCTGCGCGAAAACTAGTTATGCGTTTTTGCTTATATGCAAATTGCAAAAACGCATATTGTGACGACCCATGGAGTGCGTGTGTACGTGTTTGTATGTGCATGTGTGTGTATGCGTCTGGCTGGGTATTTCAACTCAGCAAGCTCCGGCGCCAAAATTATGCCAAAGGCTTTTCTAGTAAGTGCCACTCCAGGACGGCGGCACCAATTTTCACGCAAGTCTGGGCCCTGCTTACGACAGGATGAAAGTTTTGGCTGGAAAATCACTAACTCGAGAACCAGAAAAGCTAGAAAGCTGAAATTATGGGGTTATGTCCTCCGTCCATCTGGAACTCAAAGATTTTGAAATCAGCCCCCAGGCATGCGCGTTCCCCGGTTTGTGGAGGTTCGTGGTACGAAAATCGCTAATTTGGGAAGCCAGGGAAGCTGGGAGGCTGAAATTTTAAGGGGAAGTTTCCAGCCTCCATGAGAGCTAAAAATACCAAATTTAGCTACAGGTGTGCATGTTTCTCATGTACGGCCTCGTGAAAATTTTTGGCGTGAAGGATTGCTAACTTGAGGACCAGAAAAGCTGGGAGGCTGAAATTTTTAGGGAATGTTCTCCGCCCACGTACAACTTAAATTTTATGAAATCCATGCCCCAGGCGTGTGTAGTTGTCACATACGGCCCCATGAAACTTTTCGTCGGAAAAATGGCTTATTCGGAAACCAGAAAAGCTGCGAGGCCAAAATTTTAAGGAAATGTTCCCTTTCTTATTACCGCATAGATAATTAACTTTTCGAACTTCAAGGAACAGTATCTCACACATTTCTTGATACTGGGTTTCCAAGCGACCTCATTATAGCACAAAATACCGCATAAACGCATGATCGCACGGGCCCACACGGTGCGCGTCGCCAGTGATTTTACGTTTACTGACCTGCACTTGGACAGCAAATGTTCTAGTAAAACCAGAACCCAAGCATATGTGAGCGATAATTTTAAAAATGCATGATTACACATGGGCTAGTAGCACTATCTAACAGTTTCAGCTTTTCAGCATCTCTGGTGCTGAGTTGAAAATGGGCATGTATGTCATACACAAAATTCTTGCATCTGCGTAAAAGTGCAAAAACGCATAAAAACTAAATTTCAGTAGCGACAAATGAAAAAAAAAAGACCCACGCAAAATAATGTTAACACGGTTATTTTAATTTAGACGCTGCAGCTCAGCAACGCACTCGGAATCGTCATCGTTGCGCGTATTGGAGTCAGCTCGACGTAGTAGCGTCAGCACAACAATAAGCTTATCCAGAGCACGGGACAGACGTGGACGCTTGGATCGTAATAGGTAATCGTGAACTTTTTCCTCGATTAGTACAGTGA